TTTTTTCTAAAGTAAAACCTCAGTATTCAGGTTAAATTGCCGTGTTGGCACTTTGCGATAAATAAGTGGGGTTTGGGTCGCAGTTTGGGCACTCGGTCTCTAAAAGGCTCACCATCACTGCTTTAGTCGAACGTTAGATTGTATGCTCCTCAGGGGAAGGACAGGAACTTCTGTCGCTTGCTGTGTAAAGGATACACCAGCTCCAACTCATTTTCAGAAATGAAACCATCCATTTCCCAGTCATATCTAAGCCAAAAAGTTGTGTGGGTTTTTTTGCTTGTTTGTTTGTGGAAGGGTTTTTTCTTTGGGGGGGGGGGTTGATTTGTTTTGTTCTGGTCTTGCTTTCCTCTGAGAAAACTAAAGAGTTAAACAGGCAAAGATCTCTTTCCTAGACAGGCCTGCATAATAGAGTTCCAGGTAATTCCTTTTTCCTGTCGGCTAGATGGGAGAAACAATTTTTTTGGTCTTGTTTTGGTCTTCCAGAGCTCTCGGATTGCAAATTTCCAGACACTGCAAGCCAGACAGCGACTGGGAGAGGTAAGATAAGAGGGAATTTTGAACAAAGACACACACACACAGAAAGAGCATCTTATGGCCCTTTAATTTCTGAAAGGACAAAGGCATAAAGAAAGAGCGGGGAGGAGAGCAAGAACGAACCCTGTCCATCCCACCCTGACAAACAGGGGGGATGCTTTTAAACCCCCCCCCCAATAAAACAGAAACCTGCGGAGGAGGGAAGGAGAGTTAGAACCATAGAATGTTAGAGTTGGAAGGGACCTTGCAGTTGTGTGCTCAGAAAGCAGCCAAGACTTATGAAAAAGGGAACATAACCAAACCGTTGATAACAACATCCGATCAGACCAAAGATCCACGGAGTCCACCTTTATTCTAATTTTATTTGCTGTCTCGCTTTGGTTTCCTTTTGTAAACAAGCTGCCTGGTAATAATAAGCCGAGTATATGGAGCAGACCATGTAGGATGAGAGCATTTTATATCTTTTCTTTTTTGAAACAAAAAAGCATCCCATTTCCCAACAGATGCCACAAGTAGAGCATGAAGGCCACAGCCTTCTCTAGCTGTTTGTCCTCAGCATCTGAAACTGTGAGGTTTGCTGCCTCTGAATATGGAGCCTCTATTCGGTTATCATGACTGGAAGCTTCATCTAGCCTTACATGTTTGATTCCCCCCCCCCCCCCAAGACACAAAAGACAACATCAAAGGTGTTTAAAATCCAAAATCTTTAAATGATGTTTTGGGATGACAGGGGCACAAAGGGGTAATGTACTGCTTGTTATACATGTGTCCATCTCTTCACAATTCAAGCAGGGGGCATTCTGTTTGTTTTTTAAAAAACTAAAACAGCATGGAGCAGGGGGAGCTAAATCCTGCCCCCACATTTACCGCACTTTCCTGTGCTCTTTGGCTCTCACCACTTCATTCATTCATTCATTCATTCATACAAGAAAATAACCACAAAGGCCATGACTCAGTGAAGCAGAACAGGGGAAGTGAGGTACAACAGGGGAAGAAGTAGAGTTTATTTTTTTTATTTTAATTTTATTCTTTTATACATTACAAAGTAACCACAATACTACCTGAAAAGCACAACAAAGGGAAGGTATGAGGGAGCTTACAAGTGCGTATTATACATACCACTTTGTCTAACCCTTTTCACTTCGTTTAAGACCACAGATGTATTTAACCTTATTTGATCAACCCCGCATTTTGTGGACCCTTGAAAGTGTCAGTCTTAATGTAAGGGGGAACTAGGCTTAAGGATTGTTTATAGAAAAATCCAACTGTGGTAGTGAGTGTTTGTAGGAAGAACTTCATGTGATGTCATGTAGTTTATCACTGGTGCCCAAAACCATGAGAATTTAGTGTGTCTGTTAGTATTAAGTGATTGAGAAAGCTGACATTGGTCTGTTATTTTCGCCATAACGAACTGTTCCCACAATTTGTCATGCCACTCCTTTAGCGATGGCGGGCTGGGGGACTTCCAGGAGGCAGCCAGCGTTAATTTTGCCGTTGCCAGAAGTATTGAAGTAAGTTTTTTTACCTCATCCCTGACCGAGTTATCCCATTTATTTAGTAGCATGACTTCTGGAGTGCCTGAGATGTTTTGAGAGATGATCTCATTAATACGAGATTTCACATTATTCCAGAATTGAATAATCGTTGGGCAGTTCCACCAGCAGTGAAGGTAGCTACCTTCCAGAAGTAGAGTTTAGTTCCCCTCGTTTGTATGCTCCCTTTTTGTTTAAAAACAGATTCTTCCCTTGCTTCAGTCATCACTGGTGTGTGTAAATATGAGTGGATCCCTTCTTCCTCTTCAGTTTGGCCCTCGAGAAAACCAGAAACAGTTATTGCAGTTAGTCAACGCGCTAGGCAGCTACTGAGTTCGTTTAGATCCTACCCTTCCCCTAATGTACTTAGGGTGACATACATGGTGGTTCTCCCCCTCATATCCTCACAATGAACTTGAATTAGTCTGAGAATGTGGCTGGCCTGTGGTCACCCCAGTGAGTTTCTTGGCCGAGTGTGGACTTGAACAGGCCTTTTCAAGTCTTAAAATCTCAAACCACTACACCACAATGGCTCTCACTTGGCAATTGTTGAATTTCCAGCCTAGGAAATGGAGCCAGGAATAAAAATGGAGGAGCAAAGCCCAGAAGGACACAAAGAAAAGGAGAGGTTGGGGCTAGTTAGGAGAGACACCTCTGTGCCCCAGACTGGGAGAGAGTGTCTGAGAACCCTGAAACTGGAGGCGGAGGACGGGCCGCAGCAGTGTTGGGAAGTCCAACGGCAGGAGTTCCTGAAGGCAGCAAAATCCCCTAACACAGGATTGAAAAACCCTTAGGCCCCTACGCCCACACCAGGGAACGACAACAAGGAACTTGTGGCCTCCCTTAAGGGAGTAACTCTGTCTAGTCAGCTCCTGACAGGGGACTGTGTGACACAATTCCTCAATAACTACGAAGCACAAGAGGCCTACAACAGCCTGGATCCTTCTGTGAAAGTGAAGGAAGAGATTCCAGAGGAGGAGGAGGAGGCGAACACTGTCAGCTCGGAGATCCGGCGCCAGCGCTTCAGGTGGTTCTGCTACCAGGAGGCCAAGGGACCCCAAGAGGTCTTTAGCCATCTCCGAGAACTTTGTTATGCGTGGTTGAAGCCAGAAAGCTGCACCAAAGAGCAGATCCTGGAG